TAGCCGGGGATGTTGGCATTTTGCCCCCGCTAGAGCGGGCCCAGAAACCGTCGGTGGCGCCGATGGTGTCAGCTACGCGATCCTGCGGACGTCCGTGTGGATGTTGGCAAGGCGTAGTGAGGGCATTGCGGAGGTAAGCATTCAACAGGAGGTGGAGAACTCTACACTGCTCTCTGAGTCAGCGACTATATCCAACTCTTCCTTTTCCCATCTCCGCCGCCTCTCAATCCCCTGCAACGTGCCCAACGAGGTTGGTGAGAACATCTGCCTGGAGAAGGTGGTAAGTTGGCCTTCTTTACTTTGGCAGATTGTAGCCACTCTTTCATAATAGGCACTTGATAGTCATTCAGTTTTCTTCGTCACCTCTGGGCAAGTGTTAACTGTGTGTAGCTAACGAGACTGCTGTGCTTAAATATTCTCATTTTATGTAGCGAATTTGATGCTATCCATAGGATCTGAAACACCCAAATTTTCATTGAAATAGCTAATTTTATGTTGAAATTTCAACTCACATTGCAGGAATTAATAGAGTTCGTCTTTATTTACCTGCCTCACTCTAGAAAATCAGTCTTTTTGATGATACAATTATTCCGCAGAATTTCATGCGATGCTGATTAAATGCTATTAAAAATCAATGTCTTTCCATTCTTTTTTGAGGAATAAATATTTAGTAGGTTGAGTACACATGGTATTTATAACCTTTGTATTTTCAAACTAAGGTTCTATAGCTAAATATGCTTTTTCACCTTATTGTAGCAACTTATATTTGTTTTATCACTAAGTCATATACTTTGTATGCAGCCTGAGGGATATTTGTGAACGCCCTTTGTTTCGATGCCTGTTATAAGCTTTCAGACATGGTTTCAATGTCGTAGAAACATATATACGACTAAACCATGTTTTGGCATGTAAATAGAGTCAAAAATGCTATTCCAAGTAAATCTGGACTGGGAGTAAATGAGTAGGGGAGCCTGTTACGGTAAAGTAATCCATTGCAGGAGTTGTTAGTTCAAGGTATCACTCGATAACACCGATTCCACTTTTGGTCTTGTTTGGTTTTAAGGAAACATCATTTTATCAAACACCCGTTTCATTCGGTTTGTGTATTGCACCAATCCGGCTTTTGGTGGCTGCTAACGTTCGTGTTTGTATCACCCTCGCTACGCAGGACAGTAGATGGGACCTGATGCGAAGGCGATCGAATGCCGCCTATAGGTCAGCCACTTCGAGTCCCCTGCACACTTCCGTGTACCACCTGGAGCAGCGCGATTGTCCCTCCATCGGCAATCTAGTCCCCCATCGCGCCTCAGCGATGGGTGAGGCAGGAGGCACTGGTACCTCGCAGATCCATAGGCTTGTTGCAGGTGAGAGTGGGAAACCACGCCGACGTCCCTTCTCCGCTAAGATCGGCCCCTTCGGCCAGTATCGAAAAGCCATGTCGGATGACCACAACCTCAACTGCTCCCTCAAGCGCTTTCGCCCCACTAAAAAATGCATCGAGATCGACTCCAGCACCTTCGAAGATGGTAAATTGTTGTAGAATGCTTTTGATGTTATCAAAAATGAGAATCAGGTCGTTAAAATTATGCCAAAACTGTTGATATCGTGGTAGTTTTATATGAAAATATTGTTCGTTTTCAATAAAGCTATTTTATCTGATACATAATTACAAAGTGGTAGTAGTCCTTTTGTTGGACATACATTTTGTAAAGGCATATCTTGTAGGCACGTTCGTTTGTTGGGTGTGATTACTTCGCTATTTCTGGCCCATAATGTCAGATGATTTCGCATCGCTTTTTCCTGAAAAAGCAGTTCACACCAAAAATATTCCTGACAGTTACCGTAATAGGCGAAAGGATATCTAAGGCGTGAGCAAATCGAGCTTATGCAAATGTGAAACCTAAATCTTTCCACCTGGAATTTGGATGGGCTCTTTACTGCAACTTGAGACCTAAAAATTCCCCTTTTTCTGTAAGGTTAGCCTTACATTTCCATTTCTTTAACTTTCCGCATAATGTGTTAGAACTAAACCAGTTAATTGGCACCTTGTGAAATTTTTACAAGTACTTCTTTTATGGGATTTAAATTGCATGCCTACAAATTTTCTACGGGTCTTACGCTTCAATCAAGATCTTTTGTTCGCAGTTTTCTTTGCCATCGTTTCTTCCTCTTCTTTTAAAAGAATTCGACGATCAACCACTGACGACTGTTCCATCAACGGAGAATGAGATGGATGCATCAGTCGAGAAACAGGCGACGTTCGGCCAAGCCTGGCAGTGGTTTAAGGAACGGCGAAGAATCACTTCCACGCCTATCAGAGCTGGTGTCACCTACGTGAGCCTTCCGTGGCATCTCATCATTTCAGGTACGCAGCAACACTAATCTCAGCCTCGCTTCTACACACAAACCGTTGTGGGAGGACGTTATCTCTTTGGTTGCAGGCACTACTATAATCCTATCTACTGACGGTAAATGCACTAATTTGGCTTCTTGTCTACCTTTCCTGATTCAGTTCATCCCAATCCAACATCCGTAAATTGATTACTTTACGGGGTCTGCTGTCAGCACCCTTGTCTTCCTGAAGACATCTGGGATTTACTCTGTGATTAAGGTTATGTCGAAGTCATGGAAAGTTCTTTATTGCTTTTATAGGTATTTTTGATGCGAAGAAAACCCCAGTTCTAACTTCAACCTTCATGGAAAGTTGGGTAAAGATGGGACCATTTCATGAATCTGCAATGTGAAAAATACTGACTTAAGCCATCTTTGTGATATATGTTCCTTCTTATTACTGTTGCCCTAGTCCAATCTCCTCCCTTTCTGTCCTTTTACTTCTGCTACCATAAATTAGTGTTCCTTTTGCATGATGAAGCTTCTGAGTGACTAAGAATGGCTGGAATCAATGTTCCGAACCCCAGTTGAATATTCCAACTACTTATTAACAAGTTATTATTTGTGGTGGGCAGCTGGTTTTAAGTGAGTACCGTTTGTCTATTTGGTAGCTCTGCTCCGATATGGGCTTTGACCACAGGGGTTAAGATGGCGGCGACGTCGCCATTGTTTGTAAAGGAATTCGGTGGTATTTAGTCGTCTTAGTAAAATAGGACTCCGTTTATTTTTTTGCTTGGCTGACCAGGAGGCACTGTGGATGCTGTTCGAACTAAAACACATGAAATGCTGACGGAGACAACGCGTATTTTAGAAGACATATACCTTTATTCCTTTCCTTTGAATTTCGTGATTCTTCCGTAATGATAAATCTTTTCCACTGACTCCACGAAACCTTCTATTTGTGGATCCATAATTCAATATATGGTTCCACCTACCTCATTCGAGATAGTACTGTTGCACGGCGAGTCTTCCAGGTGTAAAGAAATGCTGAGGCCATTGGCAAGCGAAAATACCATAGTGGAGCAATAAGTGCCAGCGTAATCAAAATGCACAGTTAAGCAAACGACCAAAGCATTACATTATTTCACAGTACTAAAGCATTTTGCTAAGCTTGGAAGTAATAGGTGGCAAAGGAAATAAGAGGATGCATTTGCAATGACTGTAATGATGCCGGTTTTGCATAAATTCATATAATATCAGGTGAGATGTATGTTTAATCAAGAATTTTGCCCCAAGACCAGTGCTACATTGCTCTGTGCTCAACTTCCGTAGGTTAAAAGTGGAACCACTTTAAATATTTTGATTGTGTTCAAAGCGATCTCCTGAGAAGGAAACACCTAGGTAGAAGACCGTATTCGACACATATTCAAGAAAAGATCCCGACACAAGAGTAGGACAGTGTAAGCCTTGTTTTGGATTGGGCGCAGCCTGCCTCGAAGAGGACATACGCGGCGAATATGCGTAATCGACGATAAATGTACCTCTTTAAAAAACGCTACTCACTGAGGCATGTCCGTATCAAACCAGTGTACTCGTTCTAAGGGTATAAAAGCGAGAGAAGAAGAAAAAACTGCAAATCCCATTGCGAATGGTCTGATATCAGATAATGGACTGTTATAAATGCCAAAAATAAATTGTCCTAAGCTCAACAATTGCAGCAACGCGTTTATTTGACGATTGCCCGCAAGAGGATCTCTAGTTTCTAAAACAAATTAATTTACCGGTTAATTTTTCCAACCTAAATGTGTTAAAAAATCAACAGCATCTTTCCACCTTCACGCACAAATTTGAACTTGATTTGTTTAGAAATAAAATTGTATTAATTCTTTCCTAAAAAAGGTCTGTACACTTACAGCTTAGATAGTTCTATTAAAACAAGTTTTTCAAAATATTTGAAACCGCTGATTTTTTAGTAAAAATTGCGCTTCACATTCTATGGCTTATGATTGTTCGAGTCGATGGTACTTCTGGTGCAGCTTTAAATAGTTTGCTGAAAAATGGTAGGCTCCTCTTACTTCCAGTATTTTGTGATTTAAGGCTCGTCGTTATGATACTCGAACAACAATTTTCTCACCAGAGGGTAGGGTAGCTACTGATGCATATTTATTTTTAGGTCGTTTATATCAAGTAGAATACGCAATTGAAGCTGTTGGTCACGCACCTACATGTCTTGGGATTGTTGCGAGGGATGGCATAGTCCTCGCTGGTGAAAAGCGTTTTATTAATAAACTCTTGGACGAGTCTACTTTTTCAGAAAAGATATTTAGAATTACTGATGATATTGCTTGCGCAGTTGCAGGAATCACAGCTGATGCTACTGTACTGATAAAGGAGATGCGTCTTATCGCTCAAAGGTGTGAATGCGTTAGTTTGCTTTACGTTTCACTAATAAAAGCTTATGCTGTTTAGTTTTCTAATTTTGCTTTTGTTTTTGGCTAATTCGTTGTGGCGTGAATATCAGTTTACTTGAGGTACTGCCTACTACCGCTTCATTATCTGTAGTACGCTGAGGCCTTTTCTGCTTATCTAGATATCTTCTAGCCTACCAGGAACCAATACCAGTGGAACAGTTGGTGAGCCATATCTGTGATATCCAGCATGGCTACACGATGTATGGTGGTCGTCGGCCTTTTGGCGTTTCAATGCTTTTTGTCGGCTGGGACAAACACTATGGTTATCAACTTTATCAAAATGACCCGTCAGGCAATTTTCTGGGCTGGAAGGCTACATGCATAGGCTCCAATTCGTCAGCCGCCTCGTCTATCCTCGAGTCGGACTACAGTCCTGAATGCACAGCGGAAGAGGCGGTTAAACTTTGCGTAAAGGTGCTTTATAAGATTATGACGATGTCGAAATTGACATCAGATAAGGTGAGGACTGATATCGACTCTTGCTTTCCCACCGCAAATGTTGCACTTGAAGCGGTTGTTTGTTTTCTTGCAATTGGTTTTAATTGTGGTCTTTGCTGTGAATTAAGTTTTTAAATTAAAACGGCCTTCTTGATTTAATAAATTTCCATTCTGTTGTTTTTGCATCTGACTGCTTAGTGTCTAACTTGTTCTGTGATACACTGTAAACTAAGTTACTGTTGTTTTTAGTCCCTTCCGTTTATAAACCTATATTGTCGCTTGCCTTTTCTCAATAACTGTTTGTGTTTGCTCGGACTCAGTGGCTTTTCTATTGTTTGAATTAGCCCAACCATACCTCAGTAGCTAGATGTCTTATTGAGTGTTTTCATAAAAATTTCCGTTTGACAATCGGTTTCGTAAGCCTCCCTTGAGGTTGCTGTATGTTGTTATGATAAAGTTTTCTGAAAGAGGACCTGAACAAGGTGTCCCACATGTTTGACAATAACCAAACTTTATTTCCGTCCCATAGTTGCGGGTTATTGCTCTTTTTTTTTGATATCATCAGTCCTCGTGACTTTGCGTCTTGTGCACAGGATGAATTTTTACTTTTTAAAAATAAGTAACTTGTTTTTTGCTTTTGTATAGGTTGAGATCGGTCTTTTGCAACGAGTGGAAGATAAAACCCATATAAAAATCTGCCCTCAAAGTGAGGTTGATGCTCTTATCAAGCATGCGGAAGCCACCTACCCAAGAGTATCGGATTCTTCTTCAAAGGGCTCTGAGGCCACTCTGAGAGGCGCCGAGAAAAAATAAAATCTTTTGCTAACTTTTCGTGTTTACTCTTGATTCTAGTGGTTCTTTATCTCTAAACGCAGAATTTGACCGGGCTAGTCGTTTTTTTTAAGCCTGAGTTACGCATTTAGGTCTCCTTTGGAAGATCTTTACACATTTGCAAGAGCCTTTCATTTACTGAAATAAGCATTCAAAATAATATCTGGGTCAATCACGTCTTCACTGAAGCGTGCTGTGAAACTCACAGTGGAGTCACCATCAGTCCTAGAGCTTCTCTGGAGGAGTTGTGTGCACTCCCCAGGTGGTGTCTGTGTGCTAGCTACGAGTCTGTCGACGGGTACTGGCGGGTTCTTTTGCACTGTGTGTTTGCCCATTTGTTAATCTCGCCAGGGACGCTCTAGACCATCGGGGCGATCAAGTAATGCTATCGTTGAACAGTGTAGGGTGCAGCGCGGTCATGTTGAAAGAGGTGAAGGCTCTGGGGATTTCCCTATTACAGTTTGGCAGCCGTGTTTGAAATCAGGATGCGTGTTGATATAGGCATTCAGAGGTTCTGCTGGGAAAAATGAGGGGGTACGGGAACTCGTATCTTACGAGTGCTAGATAAATAGAAAACTGGCCATATAAAAGGTGAATGCCAAGTGTAACCTTGCTTTCGTTCAGCGGAAGTTTTGCTTCGGTCCATTCAAGGCAGCATTATCTCTTTAGCATACAACAAACTGGCTCAGAACTATTAAAGTGAGCTATATTTAGTCTGCACATTTCGTCAATAAAGGATGTAGTGCAGCAGCCCTACTCTGCTGATCGCCCTTATTTAAGTACTTCATCTCATTCAACGTTCATTTAAGGGAAACATGTATGCTTTCAACCTACTTTCTTGCCCATTGAAGTGAGGTTTTATTGCACTTCTCCTAGAGTAATTTGGGTTGTTTGACTCATATGTTTTAGGACTGGATAAATCTACTCTCAGTTTTGGTAACAAATAAGAACATGCACAAAGTTTATATCTACTTTCATCACCCAACTTTTCTTCAGCTGCCTACGTGATTACTTCGGGCGGGAAGCGTGGCCTTCACCTTAGTCGCTTTTAAGAAGTATCTGATTTAATTTTCAAATTTAGCCGAGTTCAAGAATATTTCTTGCCTAAATCTTTATCTACCACAAAGAAATTATTTTATAGTGGAATGAAACTGTTTATGTCAATACTGCTTCTGAAGTCATCTTTTGGGGCGATGCTGCAAGTGTTTGCCTGGTGCCCGCAAATGTCAAGGGGAAAGTGACGGAATCGCCTTCTTTTTCCTGCCCTAGATGAATATTTTACGAATTTACCAATATGCGCAGTCCGTTCGGAATTGTATGACATTTCTGGTCTCCGATGGCAATTGTTGAAAATATGAATGCTGAAATTTTTCTTGGTGCAATAAATGGGAGGTTTCCTCTGATTTACTGTTCTTGTTAAATGAAAGATGTAAATGTAATGCTATGAATAGATGATGTTCACTTCTGTTTTACGATTAGCTACTACTTAAGCAGAAGTTGGTTTCGGTGACTTTGATGCAAAAGTCTAAAAAGTGTTATGTCGGTGCCAAAATATCTACCCAGGTTTTGTGAATTACTCACTGCTATTTTTGAAGTAATTTAGCCTCGACTTAAAGTTCCGCACTGATCCAAAGGTTGGAGGCGAGCGCTGCAAAATTTCCTGAATGTAGGCTAATCGCAGTCTCCCAGGCCTTGGAGGTACGGTCTAACAATGGTGACGACGCGCATTAGAACCGCTTAAAGGGGTGAAAACATCCCCTGTTTTTGTCTGGGACAGCTGCACGATCCACAAATTGCCATAGTTCATATTGCTGAAACAGCCCATCATGAAGATGGGCAAAAAATTTTAAACGCGCAGTTAGCGCCTTTTTTGCGTCCATTGAGGTTGAATGGTGTAATGCGGACGTGATTGCAATAGTACATACCCTCTGATCAGTACCTAATGCATTTCTATTGGTTTATGATTACCATTTCCGTGACATTGCCATGGCAATTCGACGATTTGATTATGCATTTGCAGCAGCACTCCAAAGCAGGTGTGCGATGTGGTGTTACAGGGATACTAAACGAGTCTGTTGGCTCGTCTTTTACCGTCAGAATAACACCCTCCACAACCATTTGCTTTTATTAAGATCTACACTACGTTTGGTAGAGTTCTGGTGTAATTTATGATTTCTTTGTACACTGAAGGATCCCCCACTTATCAAATTACATAGTTCCAGAATAAATGCTTTACCACTTCACGAGTCAATCATGTAGGTGAAGAACAAACCACCACATAACCACACTCGTTCACCTCCCCAATGTATTTTAAAAATCCTAAACGCATCGGCCCATGGACTGGACTCTGTGGTGTCAATACATCAGTCCTCGTATCAAACGCGCCAGGGTGTGGAACGAATAACGTGCGCGGGTAACTGGAACACTTTGTATTTGGGTATGGCACGACCCTATTATGAAGCCTAATGATCCACTAAAAGCATACCACCAAGTACTTTCATAAGCCTTATTTCTAACTGGGAGTCCTTACTATTTTAATTCCTCATTTTCGTAATATCCTTCATAACTGTAGCTTAGAAAGAGATATAAGGCAATGATTCCAGAAATCCGACCTCTTTAGTTATTTTGTTCTACGCTCAATACAAGTGACAATTTGTCGGTTCATTTTGCATGATTGTAATTTATTTGTTATTTGAGTATTTGCCTCCTTAAAAATGCCTCTAGGACCAAAAAAACCAAGATTTTCGGCAAAGATTCTCCTCTTCCATGGGCATCATTAAAAATGAGTAAATCCAAGTGATACTAATTTTGACTAATACAAGGTGTGACAGTAAGCAAAATAGGATATTCTCTGAAATCAAAAAAGAGCTAATGGCCCAGTTTGGTTTGATCCATTGGAGATTCCCAAATACTATGTTTCACTATGGATGGGTTAGGGCGCCACCCACTTATCCCCCAACTACAATGTCGACAATTATAATGATTCAAATGAAGAACATTCAGGATACAGTTGTGGTGTCGGTACACTTTCTTTTTTGTACGTGTATCATAACAACTTGCAGTTCATCTTGTGATGTGTGAATTAAAGCCACATATGGAATAAAGAAGTTGAAGCATGAGTCACCGTTTTACTGCAAGTCAAATGTGGTTAAAGAGGTGCTTTGTACAAATTGTATACTTGACAATGCTAAATACTCACGAAAACGGACGAGGGATTGCTTATATTCGATTCATCTTCGTATATTCCTGTACTCATGACAATGCAGAACCCTCCAAATGCAAGACCCCATACTCCAGCCGAGCACGGATGGACTTGGGGTCAATATGATCTGGAATGTCGTATTCCTTTGAGAACTCACGAAAGGTACTCCGATTGGACCGTCTTTCCTCATGCCGCGCGCTTACGTAAGCGCGATTGTTCAGAGTTCGTATTTGAATCTCCTCTGGCTTGTAATCACTTCCCACTGGAATTTCGACATGAAACCTGGGTCTTGTCTGAGTACTCAAAAATGATGGAGCTGGTGACGCTCTTGATGAAAGGTGACTGCTGCGTCCAGTGCCAGATAGAGTCGAAGGCGTCGTCAGTCCACTTGTTCCACTGCTGCCTGGGGTGGTATTGAATGAAAGGCTTTGAGTGGTTGATCCAACTGGCACGTCAACGAGCAAAACATTATCAGCGCTGATTGAGGCTGTTATGAGGGATTCTTGGGCTCCTCTGGGCAGATCCACAGTTCTGGTCACCTGTTTCGAGGTGGAGCTGGTACCGATGCGCTGCTCTCTAACTGCTGTCACGACTATCTGACTGTCACGCACCGTGACATGGACATCATCCTGGTGGAAGGGTTGAACATCGAATTGCGCTAGAAAGTGCAGATTTCCGTCCACCCCACGCTCGTAGCTGGTGACAACAGGACAATCCTCGGCGGTTGAAGGTGGAGAGTGGTGATGGCTGGAGGCCGAGGTTAGGATCTCGGGTCTGCTGAGTGGAAAGGCAGGTGTGTTGAAAAACGATGAGCGCATCTCACGCATCTCGGCATCCCACTGCCGACGCCGTTCATCGAAACGCCGGCGCATGTCCTCGAACCAACGCTCGCTGTCAGAGCGTCGTGCACTCACGAGGGAGTCATCGAAGCGACTAAAGAGATCATCATCGTGCGATTTATTGATCCACGACGACGAGGAGGCAGATTTTCCGCCTAGGGTGCTGTAGCCTTTTCCAGCGACTATGGGCACAGCAGTGGGCTGACGAGTTCCACTTGTGTCAACGCGTATAGGGACCGACATTTCAGAGCGATATATAGCCATATAAGGTCAACACAAGTGATACGACGTTGTGTGCAGAGTGGGTTTTAGAACATGCGCCCGTTTCGGCAGAGAAAAGATGCCAACTAGACCAGGAGAGTGTCAGCGTGTGTATGAATACGTATGCAAGTGTGTGCGTTTGTGTAGGCACAGAAGAAAGAGAAAAAGAGAGCCAGGGTGCACACTCGCGCTAGCCTTGGCACGTACTGAGGTGCGAGCGTTGCTGTGCATGAGTGCGTGTGTGCGTGCGCGGTGCGTGCGGCGGCCCCGCACCCAGCGAGTGTCTGACCACGATCGCGTGCAGTGCCCGTTGGTTCAGCTCGCCTGTCATTGGCGTTTAAATAACTCCGGCGGTGGCCATGGCAAATTCGTGCGCAAATAAATCGATAAAGTCTAGGTCTTTCCTGCCTCTTCCACGTTGTGGCCGCATCTTCGGTATTTATATGCCTTCCTCCTTAGGGGCGGCAAGCCACTACGCAGCGAATTCAGAAAAGGCAAATCATTTCTTGTTCATTCTTAGTGCTTGAATTAGATTTCAGGTTGAAACCGTGTCTATTGAAGATCGGCTACTGTAGTACAATGGCTAACTTGGTACTTAAATTAGGCATTACAGAAAAACCTGACTTTATCAGAAAATTAATTGCCTGTGGTTTAGCAGTTGACGATCACCTCACCATCGCTTTCGTTTATGGGCGTGTCACGTACATGCAAGGTGTCGGTGAAGCTGCCAAGTTACTAGTCAATTGAAGAATAAAGCATAAGTACATTATCAATCGTGATTTAGTTATTTAGGTGGCAGAATCATCTCGTATACCTCATTAGAAAATATGTTAATGAAGAATAATACAATCGAGCATTTTATTAAATATGTACATTATTGAATAAAAGTAGATCTTGTGGAGTGTCATCGCTCTCACCAACACTGTCCATGCTCTAACCCCTATGTAATGCTATTAGGTAGCAAGCTTATGCCAGTCTAGGTTGCTTCAAAGTAATGGTTTTCTCGAAGGTTCTTAACTCCACTTTTTTCCTATCATTGAAAAAGTTAAAGCAGCCAGAAAGTGCCAAGCAGTAAATGACATTTTTATGGGCCACATATTCACTTAGAAGGAATTCACAACAAAATGGCACGTGGGAACAAACCAGCACGAAGGTAAGCACGCTAACACTCAATCGGGGTAAGGTGGCAACTAGAAGTACATATAGGGAATAGAAGTTTGCTACGTCATTAACAAACTACAGTATGTTATGCGCTTTTTCCTGTTAAAACGCATACAACTCATGCGATAGTGTGACGCAATCCTTGCAGTTAGTGGCGATTTGAAAACTCATCCATGATGCCGGACCGAAATATGGATATTGGGGTACAAATGATGACATTCAGGAGCAGATTTTATGTAGTCAGAACAGTTGTTGTGTTCTCAAGTACGCTGCTTTGATTGCTCTTTTTCCTATTACTTGCGGCTGAGACTAGGATTTATGAAATTGAAAACCGTCGCTGATTGATGCATAATAAAACAAGACGCATTTAATCGACAGTTGTCATATTCTGGATTGCCTATATCTCTTTTTCATTATACTATATGAAAGTTTATTCATTTGTGCTCCCGTGTGTTATTGAGAATAGCTACACTTGATGGACATATAAGTCGGAAGGAAATTGAAGCATTTCACTGGAATTTTTGGACGACGGGATAAACGGACATCATCCAACTGCCCTATCGAGAATCGGAAACGCTCGAACCACTTCGAAAAAGGAAATCTTCTTATGTATTTCGTGGAATTTTACGTGATTTCAACCTGAATTAAATCCGCCAAGTTCGCATTTCCAGTTTACGTAATATGGTGTTTTGGAATTTTCAGCGACAGCTTTAAGGGTTCAGTTAAAGTAGCCAATTTGGCGTACCAGAGAAAATAATACCACCAAACCAACATTAATGCACTTCGAGTCAAGCGACAACTACGTCCACACCTCGATTTTAATGACGAGAATAACGACACACTCTTCACCCATGCTTGATTAGTGGCGTCTGCCCTTCGAGTCGTGTAACATTTCCAGTTGAAATTAATATTATCCGCTCCGAAATAGTGTATTTCAAATGCCAATTGCCACTTTGAGACGTTCACATGCTTGCAGGATGAGAATTTTTTCATTTATTGGAATGTCTCTTTTCACAGGAGCTTGATTTCACTAGGCCTATACAATATTGTCGTGAATTCATGTTACAAATTGTTGTTTACCTCGAAAAGACTCGTAATAATCAACTTTGAAAGGTTGTGTAGCTTAGAAAAAGTAAAGCATTTAAAGCAGTGTAGGGCAGAGAAAATAGAGGAAGCTCTACAAATGCAGGCCCAAAAGCCACTTCAGTACATAATTAAGATGCTCGACTAAGTGACTGTGGTTACTTACTGTCATTTCGTTTCTAACAGGTCGGAATGCCGGTACTGTGGCGACTTATAGTCTAGCTAGGTATCGGTCCGTTTAAAGTCCATCTTTGCGGCTGTTGTCCTATTGGTAATCAGGTTCTCACTTCTCACTTATCAACAATAAGCACATGCATTAACACACAAAGGCGAAGCCAATTCGAAACTAGGCGATGATTCCCTCATGTCGTACTTAACCACAACGAGCTGCATCAGGCTATCATGGAATACAATTCTACCTTAAAAACGTGCCCATTATTAAGCATGCTGCGCGTTGCAGTTGTTTAACTTTGACTCATTCGTTTACCTTTTCATTCAGCAGTAAAAACAGAATACGTTCAATTTTTCGGTTAGAGGTAACACGGATATACCTGGCTCATTGTCAGTCATTCCAGACGCTGCAAATAGCGAGCATCACATTTATTTGTTTCAGATACAGTTTACTAGTTGTAAATGCAAATCACCCTTCGTCGTTCAACGCGTGGCTGTAGGCCGGTGGATATTATCGACGATGCATGCCTGCGGAAATTCGTGCGTCCGTTTCCTATAATTGATACCTTGGAAATATGAGTAGCATACCCTCATAATCAAAACAAGTTTACATCGGTTTATTTGCACTAAGCTTATTTGTGGCACACAAGTTCACGTAACACCAATATTTCACAGTGAAAACTGCAAACGCAAGTAGTATTTGCGCTGTTGACGCACATTTTGAAGTGGGGCCGAATATCACCTTCTGGTAATATATGTATATATATATATATATATATATATATATATATATATATG